TCCCAGAAAAGAGAGATTGTGGATGTCTTCCATTACTAAAAATAGTAGAGGGACCTCAAACTAATTTTTCCTTTTTAAACCAACAAAAAGTAATTTATTTTTTTATTCCTTTCATCAAATTAATTTGGGATTTTTATTGATAAATCCCATTTAGAAGTGTCCCATCCCAAGAAGTTAATGAAGGAATTTTTTAACCTACTTAGTCTCATGTATTTATACTTTTATTCCATAAAGTCATTTTTCTTGATTTATATTATTGATATTGATATTTAATGTCCTTATATTTAATAGAATAATGCTTGGGACCGGGACCCCTTTTGGGGGTCACCCCCTCACCCCCCTTTGCCACGTGGCAGGGGGTGATTGGTGGAGCAGGAAAAAAAAGAAAAAGAAAAAGAAAAGGTGACCAATGAGAGAGAGAGGGGGTCAAAGGGGGTGAGGGGAAAATGGGGGATGAATCATTACTCTATTTAATATTGATATTTAATGTGGAGAGAGAAGGGAAAGGACCAAGCATAGGAAATTTCATACACCAATTAAATAACATTGATATTATTACTTTATATTATTATATAATGTGAATATATTTTTAACTGACGACACATTAAAAATAATGTGAACATTCTCTCTCATCTGATGTAAATATATTTTTAATTGACAACACATTAAAAATAATGTGAACATCCTCTCTCATCTGATATGAACGTTCACAACACTTTTTTAAAAAATTCTATTTCATCTAATGTAGTGATGTTAACGTTCACAACATGTGAACCTTCTTATTTTTAATTGACAACACATTAAAATTAATGTGAATATTCTCTCTCATCTGATGTGAACGTTCAGAATACTTTTTCGAAAAATTCTCTCTCATCTAATGTAGTGATGTAAATGTTCACAACATGTTATATTTTTACTTGACAACACATTCTCATTCACAACATGTAGTGATGTGAATATGTTTTAGTATAAATATTCACATCATGTAATTAACAACACAATGAGAAAAATTCATTTCAAATTAATGTGAATATAACGATGTTAATATTCATTTCAATTACATGATGTGAATATTCACATCATATAATTGACAACACAATGACAAAAATTCATTTCAAATTAATATGAATATAATGACAGTCAACATCCTAATGTATTAATAAGGGCATGGAAATTTGAGATGTTTTGGTCTTCTTACCTCAAATAAGGTCTAATGAATAGTAAAACAGAATATGAATGGGATGAAATAAAACTTTTAAAAAGAGGACTTGTCAAAAAAAAAAAAAAAAAAAAATTCCTAATTAATTTTTAATTTTTTTAAAACCATTTACCGGAGTTTATTTTTTACTTCCGCCTAGGCTAATTGTTAGCCGAGACCCATTTTTTAATTATTTTGTGATGCCACCGATTCCCCTTCACCATTTTTTAATTTTGTGATACCACTAATTCCCCTTCACACTTCATAGCAGAGTTTGGCTCCTCACTCCTCTCCCTCTCTCATCTCTTCGCCGCCGCCCGTGCCGCCTTCCGCTATTGCTGCCACCGCCACCGTCACTGCCGTGGCCTTCCGTGCCTTCTGTCGCCGCCGCCGCCTCCGAGTTCGTCAGGCGGAAACTTTTAGCACCGCTCACTGGAACCATCAGATCTCAGCTCATATTCTTAGGTAAAATCTACCTCCACCACTACAATACCCTTCCCTCACAGTCCATATCAACTTTCCTTTTGTTTTGTTTTGTTTTTTTTTTTTAATTTTGAAATTTGTTTAATTTTATTCTCTGTATTTTTCCAATTTTCATTTTTTTTTCTTCTTATTTGATGTATACGATGGTTAATTATTTGTTGTATATGATAATCTGTATATCTCCACCACAACAAAAGCCAATTTTTTTCTTTTAATTTTGGTCAGTTGATCAGTGTTACTGGAGCTTAATGTTTTTGCCCTCAGACGCAGTCTCTCTGTAGGGTTTGTATAAACGGTTGGTTCTTTTTCCTGCTTCATCCATTTCCTAGGGTTTAATTGAGTTTCCGCGCTGATCATGTTGTTGAGCTTGTTCTTTTGCAGGTTGGTTCATTACCACAGATGTTTTGGAGGCCTCACTCTACAAGGTTGGTTTCTTGTGGTAGAAAATTGATAAACATCACCCATCTTCACATTCACACTCACACTAAGTTTGTTCGGCTCAAATCAGTTTCAGCTCAGTTGAATTCTTACTTGTGGGACTCTGTTACTGATGATGAACGTATTGTATGTATGCACAACACCACCACCACAACCACCACTGTAGATAACCATTTTGAAAATACAAAGTCTCACAAATTATTAGGGGTGCTCACGGTTTGGAGGTTCGGTTGTGTTCAAAGGAATCTCAGCCATCCGTCCAAAACTATGCGGATTGAAAAAAATCCGCAACTGTCCGCTTGTCATCACGCATCCGTCCAAAATGCGGTGGATCAGTTCAGTTTAGTCAATTTAGACGGATCGGTGTATCCGCTGCTCACCTTTAATTGGTAATGATAAAGAAACCATGTTATTCACTTATTTTTTTTAAAAAAAATAACTATTATTTTTGTTAAAGAATGTTACAATGGTCCCTTTTGAGAACATGGAAAAAAACCTAATTTATTAGCTTATTAATTTATTTAAATTTTATCAAATCTCTATTTTTTTTAAAAAAAATTAATAAGTTAGCTTTTTTCTTACTTCCCAAAACACTTGTTTTGGGAAATACGTTAAAGGGGAAATATGTTAAAGGCCAATTTTTTTGATTTTTTTTTACTTTAAAAAAAAAAAAAAAAATTCATCCGTGTATGTTTATGTTCAGAATTGTTTAATAATTTATTAAAGTTAGACTTAACAATTTGTTTTTAGATTGATATGTATTATGTATCCATGTATGTGTATGCTTATTGGTGAGTGTTTTTGTGAATGTAAACGTTCATATTCACTGAAATCATTATTGTTGTGGATTATCAGATTTTAATATTTTGCATTTTATGATATGAATTTCAACATTAGAAATATGTGATGGTTGTATAATGTGCAATGTGGACTGATAATTGCATGATTATTGTATAATGTGAATGTTCATATATGATTATTGTATGAGTTTTCATGATTTTTGCCTGATTATTACATGGTGTAAAAGTTCGCATTGGTGTTGTGATTATCACATCATTAATCAATATTAATATTTACATTTAGAAATTACCATACAAACGTAAACAATAATGTGATATGTTGGTCACAACATATTGTGTATCTTAACAATACAACATAGAGGTGTGAATATTCACATCAACATTGTATTTACCACAATGCAAGTCAATGGTTATATGCACACAAAAATAAACTAAATGTTCACAGTGTCTCAATAATACCAAAATAACATGACAATATCAATAATGCATTACTCACAAATCACAATTAATGTTAATATTCACATTAAAAAATAGGTATAATGGCACAAACAATGTGAATGTTAACAGTGTATGGATTCAGGAGGGGATGTTATTTATTAGCATGTATTTATAATATGAAAATTTATATCAACATTTAGTGAGAGATTTTGAGAAGGCAAGCGATTTAGGTTTTAGAAATGTGAGAGATTTTTGTTGTCAAATAAGAGATATTTTTTCCATAAAATAAGGAAAAAAGTTTCTCCATGAAATGAAGAGATTCTCTTTGAAATGAGGAGAGATTTTCTCTGTGAAACAAGGGAGATATTTTTTCCATGCGAGAAGGGAGATATTTTTTATTATGTATTAATTTTAAAATGGAAATATGCTCAAAAAATTAGAAAGGTGATTTGGTCATATTATTCTAAATAAACAGGACCTAAGGAAATATTGAAAAACATGATAGATTAAATGGAACATAACAATTATGAGTAAGACTTTGAAAAATGGCTCACAAAAAAATATTTATAAAAAAAATAATAAATATTATAAATATTAATAATTAAAATTATAAAATTTTTAACGTAAATGCTAACGGCTGTCCATTAAGCATTACTTAAGGTTGAGAAGCATATTAAATGTGTCTTAAAAATATGTAATATGTTAAAAGGTGTATTGACTTCAATTAAATGTGTAATAAAAGATTTCTTGTGTTCTTCAATTCTTTTGGCCTTGTTTGGTTTCTTTTTTTAAAAAAAAATTCGGAATTCTTTTTGAAAAAACGGCACCTAATTTGATAAAGATAAATATTAAAAAAATATTTTTTATTTTTAAAAAATTATTTTTGGCCTCCCAAAAGATTAAATAATATAAAAATGGTAATCACCTTGTTTGGTTTGATTGATTTTTTGAAATTTAATTTTTTTATTTTTCATTTTTTTAAAAATTTTATTGAAAAATAAATTTTTTACTTTCTAAATGAACATAACTTAGATACACCTAAAAATAAAATATTTAAAAAATTCAATGAATACAGAAGAATAAGAATTCATCAAATACAAAAACAAAAATTAAAAAAATTCTGAAAATATTGTAAGTTTTGTTAAAAAAAAAAAAAATCTCAATTTTTCAAACCAAACAAAGTAATTTATTTTTTTATTTCTTTCATCAAATTAATTTTTAATTTTTTAAAAACATTTATTGGAGTTTATTTTTTACAAGGACCCATTTTTTGATTATTTTGTGATACCACTAATTCCCCTTCACAATTCATAACAGAATTTAGCTCCTCACTCCTCTCCCTCTCTCATCTCTTCGCCGCCACCGCTGCCGCCGTCACTGCCGTGGCCTTCCGTGCCTTCTGTCGTTGTCGCCGCTGCTGAGTTCATCAGACGGAAACTTTTAGCACCGCTCGCTGGAACCTCAGATCTCAGCTCATATTCTTAGGTAAAATCTACCTTCACCACTACAATACCCTTACCTCACAGTCCATGTCAACTTTCCTTTTGAAATTTGCTTAATTTTCTTCTTTGTATTTTTCCAATTTTCATTTTTTTTCTTCTTATTTGATGTATTCGATGGTTAATTAAAATTTGAAATTGCATCTATGCTTCACATTAAAATGTTCAAGTTGACGCCACCTTTTCTTCACTGGAGATTGCAAAAAAAAAAAATAATGAGATTAATCTTTTCAATCATGTCATTAAATTTTGTTGGAATAACAAAGTCAATTGGCATAGGAAACACATCTTTGAATTCATCCATATCAGTTTTCATAAAGCTTTCTTCAATATTCCCGGAAACTACCTCGATTCTTTTTTTTTTTAGCCTCACTACCTAGTACAAGATCATATTTTGATTCACTATTGGCCACTGCACATTCATCAAAGACCTTGGATTGTAATGTCATGACCTCTAAAGGTATTATATGTTTTGAACTAGCAACTGCTCTTTTCGATTCGTTACTCTCAAGAGCATAAGGAATGACAATTTCTTTGATTTCTCACCGTTAGCCTTTTCAAGTTCAATACATGGAGCTTCAATTGGTAGCTTCTCATCCTTCATAATCTGGTCATCATTCTTGTTAGGCAGATTTTGAACAAATTCCTTGCCTTGCAACTTCAACTGTGTAGGGTTTTGATCCCTAAGAACAACATTACTTTGGTGCATCTTGTTATGAATTTTCAGCATCTTTTTATGGCACTTTAACACTTTGTTTTGAAGTTTTTGTTAGTTGGTCTTGCTAGATAGTTTTTGCGTTATGTGTAGGCTTCAAAACTATAGATTTCTCCTTAAATTTTATAAAGAAACTCAAATTGTATAGTTGTTTCAATAGCATCTTCGAAATCTTCCAAATATGCATGAGACATCTCTTTTTTAATTCCAAATCTCAATCCACTTTTGAAACGAGCAATAGTCATCAGTTCCCTCTCAACAACTCCAAACTTGATAAATAACTCCTTATATTAATCGCACGCATATTACATTGCTCAAGAGTATACAATTGATCAAGAAGATCATATTAAGGATCCCTTAGACGAAATTTTTCTCTAAGAAGCACTTTACCCTCTTCCTAAGGCAATCCACTTGTATAGGATCTCCCACAATGTGAAAACATCATCGTGAAACCTTAAGCTCTGTTGCCAAACTGATGCAGGATGATTAGGGACAGCGCTGGATCTTGAAAACATAGGTTATTTGATGGCCTAAACAGTGAGTAACTTAAGATTTCAAGGATTAAATTGAAGGCTAATACGTAGGGGAAGGAATTAGGGTTGATTTGGGGTTGATAGGATGGAGTTTTGAGGTTGAAAAGTGCACTTTTAGAAGGCTGTGAATAGTAATCCGAGAATAGTAAATTGAAACAAAAAAGAAAAAGAAAGAAGATATAAGCCTAGACCTATTCTTTTTTGTTTCTAATGCCTAGAACGGCTGATGAGAGCTTTGAAGCACATATCTTCTATTTTGTTTTTCAAAGCTCATATTTTATATTTTATTTTTACATAAAATATCGACTCTATTGAATTAGAAACATTACATGACTTTATATAGACTTTAAAAACTTCATAAACCAACTAGAACCAAAAAAAGAAATCACTATAATATCTTAGACTTCCAATAAGACCAAATAATAAGAAACATAAATAAAACTCAATTAAATAACTTGACCCCCAAGATGACCAATGGGCAACGCCTACAACCCATGACAACAATAATGAAAATTACCAAAATACCCTAGGCATAAAAATTCTAAAAAACATAAAAATAATCATAAAATAAGACTCTAATAATACTAGAAATATTGTTATATAAAATTCTTATCAGAATCTCTTTAAAATCATGCCAATGTCTAAATATCATCTCTTTTTTGAATTCAACCTTGCTTGAGTTTCTTATATTTTGCATCAGCCGTTCTATAGAACTTTTCTTTTAATCTAAATAGGTATTCGCTTATCACACCGTACTCCAAACGCACTACTCCACGTGAGCCAACCCGCCTTAATTCTATAGACCACATCTTCTCTAATCTCCCCATCTATTGTAATAATCGAGCCTAAATAGTGAAAATATTCACTCTTAGGTAGTTCTTGATTCTCAATTTTCACTTCTTCTTTGTTTTCATTTCTAAAATTACACTCTATGTACACGGTCTTAATTTTGCTTATCCTAAAACCTTTAGATTCAAGTGCTTCTCTCCAAACCTCCAACTTAGTGTTTGCTCCTTCTCGTCTCATCTACTAACAAGTTATCATCTACAAAAAGCATATACCATGGCACATCATCTTGAATATTTCTCGGCAACTTATCCATAACTAAAACAAAAAGATAAGAACTTACGGCTGATCCTTGGCGTAATCCTACAGCAATTGAAAATTCAAATGTTTGTCCAGCCGACGATCTAATAGTGGTCACCACACCTTCATACATATCCCTAATCACATCAATATAGCCTTTTGTCACCCATTTCTTCTCTAACACCCACGGAATTATATCTCGAGGCACTTTATCATACGTTTTCTCAAGATCGATAAAAACTATATGAATACCTCTTTTCTTCTCTCTATACTTTTCTATTACTCTCCTCAAAAGATAGATTTCTTCCATTGTTAACCTACCTGGTATAAATCAAATTGATTCTCTAACATCTCTGTTATATCTCGCAATCAACATTCCATCACTTTCTTGCACGCTTTCATTATATGACACATTAGCTTGATTCCTCAATAGTTGTTGCAATTTTAGATATCTCCTTTATTCTTATAGATTGGCGCTAAAATACGCTTCCTTCACTCCTCTGTTTTTTTCCTAGCCAACAAAAGCTTGCTAAATAGCCTAGTCAACCAAGCAATCCTCTTCTTACTCAAGCATTTCCAAGCTTCAATAGGGATATTATCGGCTCCTAAAGCCTTATTTGATTTCATCTTCTTGAGTACAATCTTTACTTCAAAGTTTCTTATCCTGCGATAGAACCTGTAGTCTTGGTCTTCCTTATTACCGGTAACTTCCTTCCCTTTTGAGCTTCCTACATATTCCTCATTTAATAGCTTCTCAAAATAATTCTTCTATATCTCCTTAATCTCTTCATGTTTCACTAACACCTTAGAATTCTCACTCTTGATGCACTTAACTTGATTAAAATCTCTTGTTTCCTTCTCCCTTATCTTAGCAAGTTTATAGATTCTCTTCCCTCCCTCCTTACTATCTAGTATAGTGTATAGGTCGTCATAGCCTTTCAACTTAACATCTCTCACTACTTTTTTGACCTCATTGTCTGCTAATCTATAACTCTTAATGTTTTTCTCATATCTAAAAATTGAAAAATTATTCCATGTCACAAATCAATCTCTGGACCATCCATTTGTGTGGGTCTGACATAAATGGACGGCAAATCGATTTGTGGCAAGGCCAAGTCAATGCCACATGTGGCAGTGAATAATTGCTCCCAAAAGCTCTAAGTTGATGGTAGGTGAAGTGGAGGTGGTAGTGGTGTAGTGGGTTGATTTTAACAAGCATCTTCGAGATCTTCCAAATATGCATGAGGCATATCTTTTTTAATTCCAAATCTCAATCCACTTTTGAAACAAGCAATAGTCATCTATTCATTTTCAACAACTCTAGACTTGAAAAATAACTCCTTATATTTTCTTGCATAATCAATCACACACATATCACCTTATTTATGAGCATACAATTGATCAAGAAAATCATCTTGAAGATCTCTTTGACGAATTTTTTTTTTTTCTCTAAGAAACGCTTTACTCTCTTTGCAAGTCAATCCACTTGTATAGGATCTCCCACAATGTGAAAATATCATGGCGGAACCGAAGTTCCGATACCAAACTGAGGTAGCACAGCGTTGAATTTTGAAAACATAGTGAATAATTTAGGATTTAAAGGATTAAATTGAAGTCTAATAGGTATGGGAAGTGATTAGGGTTTGATTGCATTACACAATCCATAAAGAACCTTCAAAGCTCTCAATTTTTATTTTAATGTAAAATATCAACTCTATTGAATTAAAAACATTACATGACTTTATATAGGATTAGGAGGCTTTCTAAACTAAGTAGAACCAAAAAAGAAAACTAGTAAAATATCTTTGATTTTTAAAACTAATTTAAGACCAAACAAGAAACAAAAACAAAGACTAATTAAATAACTTGACACATAAGAGAATCCACGGGCGACCTCTACAGCCCATGTTTGCAAATATAGAAATTACCAAAATACCCTTGACCTAAAAATCCTAGAAAATATAAACTAATCATAAAATAAGACTCCAATAACACTAGAAACATTATTCTATAAGTTTCCTACCAGTTTCACTTTGAAATCATGCCAATTTCCAAATATTGCCACTTCTTTGAATTTATTTTTTCTTGAGCTTCTTATATTCTGCATCACCTGGAGGGGAGTGAAATGGAGTTCTACTGTTAAAACTTAGTAGACTTGAACAACTATGTGTAGAAACTAAGTAAATCCACTTCTTATAAATTTACTAATTAATGAGGATAAGTAACCATTTCGATTTGATGCACATGGTAATGACATTCTTAACAACACCACAAAATTTTGTAACACATATCATAAAATGTCATGACTTTTCTCACCCACAAAAAGTTTTAACTTTTTACTCACCACAAAAACTTTTACTTTTGGTTGCACGCAAGGTTGTTAAAATCGGGATCCTATGTTGGATCATTGGAGGTGTTTACAGGATCAGATCGTAAACTCAGATCGAGGATCGTAAGATCCCATCGAACAAGACAACTTACGTAATAATTTAATTTAAATAAAATTTCTTAAAAAGTATACACAAAATGAACCTATATTCTATTAAAAAGAAATGAAGATATTGTGAAAAATATAATATTCCATGTAAAATGTACATATAATATTATACAATGGAAAGCTCAATGGTAAAAGTTTTGTGTTTCATCAAAAAAGAAGGTGAAGAAGAAGAATTCTATAGTAAAATACTTTACAATCTACAATAATGCATAAAAAATGAAGAAAAAATATTTAATAAAGTTGGATATGAAAATATATTAAGAACTCAAAAGTGCAGCTTAACTGAATGATAAGGTTTGTTGTTAGCATCTCTGGTAGAGCGGATTCGAGTCACAAAAATAGGCTTTCCAAAAATTGGGATAAAGTTACAATCATCTTGCACTCCTCAGTCTCCGCTAAAGCTAAGTTTGTTTTTTTGACTAGTTAGTTTTCTTAAATTGCGCAATATTTAAATATTTGTTTCCTAATTTGTTGTTTTGTCTATTTGATTCAATACTACTTAATTTTTATTATTTATTTTGACCACATAAATTGGTATTTAGACAACAAATATACAATTTATAATAAAATATGTCATACAATGCAAAACAAGGATTGTAAATTGGATCGGATCGGATTGGATTCGATTCGGATTGGGATTCCATGATCCTATAAGATCCCATTACCAGGATTGAAAGATCCTACTTATAAGGAATTTTTTATACGATCCGGATCGATTGTGCCTAAATGGATCGTAAGAGCCGGATCGAGATTTTGATAACCATTGCACGCCATAAATTCACTATACATGACTTTTACCACAAATTGGCATACAACACACACCACAAACATTCGTAATTTTCACCACAAAAATCGTAACTTTTTAAAATGTGCCCCTTTTTAGGGACGCGTATCGTAGATTTCCCGATTGATTTTAATAGTACAACTTGGCTAAATAAGCTCTGGCCATTGATGATTAGGCAGTGCTGCTTTTTATGATTCTCTGTCCTGTTATTATTTTTAACTACTGCTAATTTTTATGTGGTTTCAGACTTCACAGTAAACTTCATCAAAATATCTGTAAGAATTTATGTATTATTGATTGATTTTGATTGATGCTTTGATGTATTACAAGATTGATGAATTACAATTCCTATACAATCTATATATAGAAGAAAATGTGGTAGTAGGTGAAGGTAAAGATGGGAAATTCTAACAATATCAATAGAGACTATCTTGGACTGCTCAGTTGGCACAGTCAGAATTTGGAACTTTGAACAAGTATTTGTCCAATTCTCTGTCAAAATTTGATGATTTAAAAACCTAACAGATGACTTAACCTACAACATTTTATCAAACTTATTTTAAGAAAATTAGGAATCTATGTTTGATTTCACCGATATGTTAACTCCCTGTTATTGAAATTTGAAAGTAGCATGAGAGATCATTTGATTAGTTAGATGTAATGTCAATGCATAGGTACAATAAATTTTCAGCCTTGGTGAAATGTTCAGTGTGCCTATTTTCTTGGCTCTATCATCCTCTCATGCTTGGGGTAACAATGAAAATCTTGGGATTTTTTTTTGTCTTCTTGTCTCTCTTGTGGATAGGCTCCTTCCACATTCCAATTGCTTGGGAGAAAATACAAATTTTCCTTCTTGTTCTTTCTTCTGCCAATTCAAAAATCTCACTTCGCATGTGCTTTTTGAGCCAACAATCTAGCAAAGTAAGCGAAGACAGTGATTCCAATAAAGAAGAGAAAACCAGTTTCTCTTCCTCAAATGCTTAGATCAATTAAAGGCCACTTTAGAATTTTTTTTTTCTTGTTATATCTATTTATTTTTCTTAAATTCTATGATTGCCATGATGCTGTCATTTTTTAGGAATTTCTATATGAGCCTTTCACAGTATTTTTCATGTGTATATGCATTTCTCTATCTTTGCATATATGTTGTAATTCTTTTGGAGGTTTGATTTCTTGGACAGTTGAATTGAGATTCATTTCCTTTACTTTGTATTCGTGTTTCACTAATATTATTTACTTTTTTGATGGTTTTTTGTGGAACATGAGATTTAGCCTTTCAAATTCTTAGATTTCTTATATATATAATTTTTTTTTTATTATCCTGCATCTATCATCTATTCCTATTAGTGGTTTAGTTCTTCCATCATTTTTAGTTGACTCCTTATAATAATGGCTGACCAATTAAGATTTGTAATTTTGTATTGGTTTGATGTTGGCTTACCAATTCAGTTTAGTGATTCTCTGTATCAGGGAATTCACATTCTGAGCAAGTCAATATGAATAAACTACAATCAAAAGGCTACAATTTTTAATGAATAATGTACAACCTGGAATTTTTTCTCCTATCAACCAATGTATGCAAAAGAAGCTAATAAAACATTAAACCATTCAAAACTACTTTATTTTTATTTCTATCAAATTCATTATGTGCTCTCATGTTGAAATTTGTGGATGTGCCGTTTTGTTGCCCAGAAATGTAGCAAGCAAAAATGTAGTCTATCTTTTTGGTTTTAGTTTTGTCTGTGTTTTATTTATTATTTATTTTTTATGTCATACTCATCTAAAATGTGTTGTTTATGCGTCATTTTTATACTTCATATTCGCTTTTACAAAAAATCGGAACTGGAACTGAAATTACCATTAATGGGCATTAAGATTGCACGACGGCACCCACTTCCACCTCACTTGCAAATGTGAATGCAAGGCTATCAGGCCCTCCATGAAATGTCTTTTAAGTCATTCTTCTTTGTTCTGTTGTTTTTTTATGGTTGTGTGTGATGTTTAAAAAATCATGAAAAAAATATATGTTTTCTCTTGTGGGTTTAAAACAGGAGACATCTGGATATCTTGAGCTCCAGCACCAAAAACTCCTGGATATGTCGTAACAGCCTCTAGTGGTGCCAAGGCATGCCCTTGAAAGTGGCCAGACTTAAAAGGGTTAGTGATGGCTCCTGCAAGAATTGTTTCAATGTTCATAATATGATGCCAACCCCATTGGGTGACAAAACCTGTTGGAATAGCAAATGGCTGTGCACACAGACGAGGTCATTGCTAGGGTTGTCACTTTTATTGTAATTGTCATTGCAGATACCTTTGTTCATCTTGTGCCCATTATTGGTATTTTGATATCACCATAAATTACAGCAATATTCTTGTTTTTATGCACAAATGTCAAATATGCAAGGTTTTTGTATCTGTAGATTAACCATATTATTCTCAAAATTCATTTGGCCTTTACAAAATCTAGATCATATTCCACAAATTTGGTTATCAGTTTATCTTTGGCGGTTCTCTTATTTATTTATTTATATTATTATATCGTGTTCGCTCATATTCAAATAAAACCCTATTCTCTAGTTAATATTACTGATGCAGTTTCCCAGTTGCTCTTCTGCAGAATTTCCAGAATTCCAGTTAGAAGAGACCATTCTCTAACAAGCTAAACAACCCTTATACTGTGTATTTTACCTCTATGTACTATGCTATTTTTAATGAAGTCCCAAAATAAATAAATAAATAAATAAATTCATGTCAAATGTATGTCTTTCTTGCTTATTTTGTTGGGGAAATATCAAAAGGGTGGGAACATAGTAAAATAATTTTAAATACATGAAAGTATGACATTTTTTTACACAAATTAGTACATCATGAATTTTAAATTATTTTACCATCTTTTCATTTTTTTAATATTTCCCCTATTTTGTTTCGCCACTAATCTTGAATTCTTCTTTCCTGCACTGTGAAAAGTATGGAAACAGTTTCTCAGTATGTTGGACGTAAAATTGTATACATTTGATTGTTCCCAAACCTTAGCTGTTCTTAGATAGTCTATAACTCTGCTTTTGATGTGTACAGGGAATATATTATAGCACTCAAATTGTCAATTAAATTAAGGAAAATTTCAATTCTTTGCTTTGCTTTGTGGACCCTTAGGGGTCTCAAACAAGTTCGCACAAATAAAATAGAACATGAAATGAATTTAACGTAGACATTGTTTTATCACTTTTCCTCTATGTTTTTGCATCTTTACTCCAGGATAAGAAAACAGAAAATACATCAAACAAAAACACAACCATGCCATTGATTCCGATTCTCTCCCCTTTTTTTTTTCTTTTTGTTTCTTTTTTTTTTTCTAATTATTAAATTAAACTCATTCTCCCACACTAATAGATATACACTTAATTTTCTGACACAAGTTTACAAAAAAAAATCCTGAACCAATTCCTACATGTGCTGGCAATAATTCTCAGAATTCCTGTAGGCTTGAAACTGGGAAATTCTTGATTTATACAACTTAGAACATGACATCGATTTGTGTACTCACATCGATACAATAGCCATAAGAACTTACTGGAATTGGGTCAGAAACAATCCCTGGAGAGGATCACTCTTTCTGCACAAGCTGCTCAACATCTCTAAGCTCCACTCCACTCCCTTGCTGCTCATGTTCACTCTGAAACAATGCCTCAATCTGCTCCAGTGATTTTCCTTTTGTTTCAGGAACAAGTGCGTAAACAAAGGCAACAGAAACGGCTGAAACTGCTGAAAAAATGAAGAAAGTTCCAGCCATCGTAATTGCACGTCCCATGGAGAGAAAAGACATGGCAATCAAACCGCTGCACACTCTGTTACCCACAGCTCCGAGTGCTGCAGCTTGGGCGCGCAGCCTTAAAGGGAAGATTTCCGATGTCAAAACCCAACAAACAGGACCAATTCCCACTGAGAAGAAAGCCACATTTCCACAAACCGACAGTATTGCCATTCCAATCCCGAAAGGTGTGTGCTTCAACAATAATAGAGTAAGTCCCAAACAAAACAAACAGATAGTCATACCAATTGTGCTTATATATAGCAGTGGTTTTCTTCCAAGTTTGTCTATAAGAAGAATAGCAACTAATATAAATGCAGTTTTGGTAACTCCCACAGCAACAGTTGCAGCAAGAAGCTTCGAGTTACCAGCAATACCCGCTACTTTGAAGATCTCGGGGCTGTAATACACGGTTGCATCAATACCCGTGATCTGTTGGAAACATTGGATTCCAAAACCAGTAACTAGCATACGGCGAAGTGCAGGAGAAGGACTCAACAGTTCGCGCCAAACAGGTTTCTCTTCATACTTCTCAGCGCTACCAATTCCAGCAGCTAATAGTATTTCTCCGAGTCTCTCCTCCACCTCTGACTCGTTCTCAATAGTTGTCAATAGCACAGCTCTTGCTGCTTCAACTCGATTCTGCATTACCAACCACCTTGGTGACTCGGGGATTATGAACAGAGCGAATCCAATGAATACTGAGGGAAGAATTCCCACAGCGAGCATTATCCTCCAATTTAAATGCACTGAAAGACCTGAAAATGCGTAGTTTGAGACATAACCGAGTAGGATCCCAAGATTGATGAAAATCTCAGGGAATGAGGTAAGAGAGCCTCTAGCGATTGTCGGTGATATCTCAGCTATGTAGACTGGGGCAATCATGACTCCAAAGCCGATTCCAATCCCACACAAGAGTCTCCCAATCATTAGGATTTGGAATGTCGGAGCAAGAGTCATTATAACTGCACCGGTTTGAAAGATAATTGCAGCTAATCCCATTGTCCATTTTCTACCAATGGCATCTGATGTTCTTCCACCAGCTAAACTACCAAGAAGCGAAACGACGCTTAAACTCCCGACAAGCACTTCTTGTTGCACTTCTGTTATCTTCAGATCGTCTTGAATGAATAGGATTGCTCCACTCATAACACCTACATCTGAAACGTTGTAAAAACCTAATTAGCCAACTAACTTATCCTTGATACCTTGGATTCACATGTCATGCCCATTAGGAAATTTCTAATAAATGGTTGGGAGTTAAAAGAACATCAATTCATTGGGACATTAACCCCCTAAAATTAACTACAGATGTGACAAGGAAAACCAAATAAAAAGCAGTACAACATCAATAAATGGTTTAGAATTATCCTATGAACCCACCAGATGCATCTCAATGAGTCCTCTATTTATAAAAAAATGGCATGCCTTGCAGAAACCAAAGAGAGCCAAAAAGGGAGGGTTTAAGAATGCAATCCCATGAACCCAGATGCATCTGTGACCCAGGATGTAGTCCAAGTGGTCTTGAGTAGGCGCTTAGGTGTCAGATCTTTGTAACTTCAAATACCCGGGTTCATTATGGTCCCTCCTATGACTGACACGGGTGGACAAGTAGAGTATACTACGGCGCTTGAGAAAACCATGTTGAAGTCTAATTACTAACTCGCTAACATCCTACCTTGTGCTAAAAGAAGAGAAAAAAAAAACTAGATGCATCTCAAGTTCACCTTTCCATGTTCAAAAGAAGCAATACTATTTGATTAAAAAAAAAGTGAGATTCAAACAAGCAAAGCATATATGTACAGAGAACATGAGCATGTAATCAATTACACAAATGAGGTCAAAGATTGAGAGAAAAGGCTCTTATCATAGCCAAGAAGAACAGAATTGAGCCGTGTTCAAAAGAAGCAATACTATTTGATTAAAAAAAAAGTGAGATTCAAACAAGCAAACCATATGTAAAGAACATGAGCATGTGATCAATTACAGAAATGAGGTCAAAGATTGAGAGAAAGGCTCTTACCATAGCCAAGAAGAACAGAATTGAGAGATGCAAAAATGGCACAAGCTAGAACATATTTCTTGGTATTTCTGCTCCTTTGCTGCTGCTGAAGGTGGTGTGAATCATCATCCTCTGTGAGCTCAGAGTCCATCCTCCTGTACTTGTTCTTAGCTCCCAAAGGAAAACCAGACAAACCCATTTCCCTATTACCATTTTCTTGGAGACCCACCAATCCCATTTCCCCTTTCTCTGATCTGTGTCTGTTTCCGACCAAATCAGATGAAAAAAATACGACAGACCCAGAAATCTTTTATGAGGTTTTCAAATCTTGAAACTCAGTGCAAAACCCAGGAATCGGGTCTGGCTCTCATTTCATTTTCAGATCTGAAAATAGAAGATGGAAGACTATTAAACAAAAGTGGGAACCCTTAATTTGTCATGTAAGCAACCCCTAAACAAATGAACTGGTCATAAACAATACAGAACTTTTTTTCCTTGACTCGGCACCATTTTATAAGCTCAGAGTTGGGAGCTTTCTAAGCAACAGCGTTGGGGGAATGTTATTGGTAGTGATAAAAGAAACCGTGTTATTCACTTATTTTTAGAAAAAAAAATAACTACTCCTATTATTTTTGTTTTTATTAGATAAAAAATTTTACAATGTTCTCTCAAATCTAATTTATTAATTTATTTACTTATTTAAATTTCATCAAATCTCTATTTTTTTACATATTTTTAAAAATCAATTTGTTAGCTTTTTTCTTACTTTCAAAACACTTGTTTTGGAAAATAGATTAAAGGTTAATTTTTTTGATTTTTTTGACTTTTATTAAAAAAAACTTACAAAAAAAACAAAAATATGATATGACTCAAAAAATTCAAAGTCAAAAAAACTAACTTTTAACACACATGACAAAATAAGCGTAAAATCCTTCATATTTTTGTCAATTACTTCAATTTAATCAAACCTGTTTATTTCTCTCTTGGGAGGAATAATTTGATATTTGTGTAAAAATTACTCAACAAAGACAAGATATGAAACATCTTTTATTTTCGTTCTTTCTTCTTTTGTTTTTTTTTTTTTTAGTGATAAAAAATGTGTTTTTTGTGGCAATTTCTTCTCTCTCTCTCTTTTTTAACTAAGATTTTCTAAAGATTCGCAGAGCTTTGTAACGTGTAATTTTTTTGTCAAAAATTTTAAGAATACTTATACACAAGTCTTAATTTATAAATTTATCTTCTATTAAGTCCTTAAAAAATCGTGTTATTCAGTTATTTTTATTTTTGTTAGATAAAGAAAGTTACAGTGGTCCCTTTGAGAGCATGGAAGAAAACCTAATTTATAAGCTTATTAATTTATTTGAATTTCATCATATCTCTACTTTTTTATATATATTTTTTTTTTAAAAAAAAAAAAGCTTAAAAAATTAATAAGTTAGATTTTTTCTTACTTCCCAAAACAAATGTTTTGGGAAATAGGTTAAACGCCATTTTTTTTTTTTTTGACTTTTTTTTTAAAAAAATGCATCCATGTATGTTGTGCGTGTCAATTTCCGACCACACTGTCAAACAGGTACTTAGCTGGAGAATACCGACAAAATAAATTAAGCCCGAACGACCTATCACAGAAAGATAAAATTCTGGCGGTGGTTCGTCCACTGGGGGTATTCCGACGATCAAGTCAGTTATCTCTCAAAGATAACAAAAAATGCTTAACTCACTATTCAGAATACAAAAAAGCGTACCTTAGACCTACGAGGGCGCCTTTCTTTTATAGCCAACACTGACCTAATCCTAATAGAAGCCTAGCTTCAATAGACTCTGGCTCAATGCTAATCCTAGACTCCCAGTTGGATTGGGATAAACTCCCTAAGAGTCTTATCTTTATCTAAACTGAAGTCCTCTCTCATTTTAGGACTCTTGTCCCTTATCCGCTTATCTCGGATTTCGGTATCTTCGCAGATAACCTCGGCCTGGCCGAGATAACCCCGACCTAGCCGAGATAATCTCGACGTCATGTCCAAGACACGTGGCACCTCGGCTGGCATTTCGGTACCACCTTGGCCACGTGTTGTCACTCAAAAATTATGTCCCCACAACTGCCCCCTAGGTTCTATTACCTCGACGTCCTGAGGTGATGGAACCTATATTGTTTCTTCCATTTAGCACGTCGGCTGAGCTCGCTTTGTCCTTCATTACCGAGGTCATCATTCATTGGCTCAGTACGCCCAAGACTTAGTTTGTTTTCATCAATGCTTCAGAACCAATAGCCAAGTTTGTTCAAGTTTCTCAGCCAAGATCGTCCCCCTAGCCGAGGTACTGCTCCATTAAATCAAGAACTCCAAGAGTTTCAACACGCGTATGAGCTGTCACGCACAGTATTTCAACCATTTTTGCCTCGTGTCTTTCCCCTACTGAGCCGTACCTAACACGCGTCATTAAGTCGCATTGCTTTTGCGTGCGCCGTTTGACAAGCACGTCGTCCTAGGAACACTAATTGCCATTTTGCTACCATTCTACGTGTTTGATCAAAATCATCTCTCTCTCTCTCCGTCTTTTTACTTTTCCACCACCATTTTTGTGTAAGTTCTCTCTCATTCTACTTCCAAATCCTCTATTGTTTCAAGCTCTGAAGCTCTGCAGCTACTCTGTTCACCTCTTCCGGCGAAGCTCTTTCCGCTCTACTCTACCTATTTCCACCGTCAGACTCCAGCGAGTCTCATATCAGCGTCATTTTCTGTGGTAAGTCACTGTTTTTCCCCCTCTTTAGTTTCATACTATATTGCCTCTGCTTATTTGACATGATAAATACATTCATATGCTCCTGTTTCTGTCTATGTTTCAAATTTCACCATTTGTATGCTTAAACATGTTCTGTTTTTGGGTATACACACGTACACACATACTTGATGTTCTTGATCGCCTGTCACTGTTCTTGATTTGTGCACATTTATATTTTATGCAATGTTCTTGAACCCCTTTTAGTTTTCTTGAGTCTGAATTTCTATTCTTCTCTGTTTTCTTGTTGTGTTCTCCAGAATCTTGCCTTCAATCCTTGTTTCCATAGTTTTAGGCTTAGGATTTATTTTAGAAACTTGATCTTTAGGAAAACCAAACCTAAAACCTTTTTGATCTTCAAAAACCCTTGCCCCAGCATTCGTTTAGGTTTTGCCGAGGTCCTTTAAACCCTAACAAACCACTTCTTTTTGCAATCTAACACTTCCCCCTTAAGCTGACGTCATGGGTATGTAGAGATAGAAGGTAGACACCCCAATTAAGCTAGAATATTTCAGGCAGGAGTTCGCCATCACTGCCGATGTCCACCTCAGGTTAGCTGGGGAGGAGGACTCCATCATGCCCAAGGACGACTCTATGCCTTTTCCAGTCGTAGCCTTCGTAGAGTGTGGACTTAGGCTCCCTCTCGATATCCTTTTCCGAGAAGTCCTTCACTATTATAAGCTCAACCCAATGCAATTAGCCATTAACTCTTACAGAGTCATCAACGGTATTATTGCTTTAGCTAGCCGAGAAAATGCTAGGGTAACTCTAGCCGACATCCAGTATTGCTACACCATGTGCGGCCTTAAGTCAAAAAAAGGCTACGTCTATTACCTTAAGCTGAGGTCCACACAATACAAACTCGTCGCCGACCTCCCTGATTCCAACAAGGGCGCCGGGAAAGATTACTTCATCGTCTCGGGCAACTAGGAGTTCCTTCTAGATGATGACCTTCACCTATACCCTCTAAGTCGTACATTATTCAGAGAGGGAGATGGTAAGAGCCAAGTGTTTACTTTTACTTGCTTCTCAAGTCTTTCTTACTTTGATATTTTTATATGTTCTAACATCTGTATGTTTTATTTTTGCAGTTCTTCCTCAACCTCCAAAGGACTTCCGTAAAAACTTTTATCCCAGCAAGGATTTTAAGAAGCTGTTAGGTCTACCAGTTGAGCAGCGGAAGGCTCCTTTGCTGCTTAACTATATCTCGACGTACAAATCTGTTCTACCCGACATCCTGAGAAAAAGCAAGTCTCCTTCTTCAGCAATAACTCCTGCTACAACTTCATCACCTCGGCCAGATCAGGAATCAACCTCTGATCCAGCAGAACAGCCATCAACCTCGGCTCCACAACTAGTCTCACCTTCTCAACGCAAATGCCGACGTCGAACTGTAGCCGCCGTTGAGATGGGTTGTAAAAAGGCTGTAGCAGACGACCTTCTAGCCGACATCCCTAACTCTGTCACCGCACAACCTTTACCATCCTAGTCTCAGCCAAAGCCAAAGCCAAAGCCAAAAAGACTGAAGAAAGCCCAACCTAAGGCAACGGTAACTCAGATCGACTCTAAGGATACCTTGCCAATCTCTAAAATTACTGAAGCGGAAAAAAGTGCCTCTGCTGCCAAAAAGAGGCCCGCAGAGGCTGTTCTCTCTGAATCCACCCGGTCAAAGAAGCCGAGGTCAGAGTCAGGAACGACCTCGGGGTCCATGAAATCTGATGCCCCATGGGCCCCTCAATCACTATTGAGGACAAGTCAGTCAGGGTCGGCGATAGCGTGACTAACCTTGAAGTCGACGTTGCCCTCTCAACTGCCTTGCTCCTTCCAAAAGACTTGGAATGCAACGCTGAGGTCAACGAATACGAAAACTTCGCTCTAATGTTGCCGCACTCCGTTCAAGTAAGCCCCTAACACTTGGTACTTTTCATTCTCTGTTTTTCCATACTTAGAGAATTTCACTAACTTTTGTTCTGTCCATTTCTTCTAGGCAATCCAGCACGCTCACTCCTTCGCGATGCAAGCTTTTGACATCAAGAAAGAGTTGGTCAATAAGACCAAGGAGGCTGCTAGTTTGCTGAAGACAGTCAACAGAGCCGAGGCCAAGATGAAGACATTGACGGATCAGGCTAAGGCGGCCAAACAGGCCCAAGATGAGGCCGATGAAAGGGTGGGAGCTGCTGAGGCCATTGCCAAGGTCCTCGAAGCCGAGAAAAAAGAGGGCAAAGCAAAAACGGTCGAAGCCCAGGCCAAGCTCCGGGCTGCCTTGGCCACAAAAGAGGCCGAGATCAAGGCGGGGGACGAGAAGGTCTACCTCGAGGGAGCAGCCAATGTCTGCGAGGACTACAAGAAGTAGGTTAAGAAGGCATGCAACAAGAGTTACTCCCTTGGCTGGATGGCTGCTTTGAAAGAAGTGGCTGCTCCGAGGATTCTCCGCTTAAAGACGAAAGCCGACTCATTCTGTCATTCCTCCCTACTCCAAGCCAATCCGAGGACGAAGCTGAGTCCGAGGAGGAAGTTGAGGCCGAGAAGACGAAGAAGCTACTGGGGCCAAGTCCCCAACTCTGAATGAGCAAGTCTTGGACTTGACTCAGGATGAGAAAGATGAAGTCTCAAAGGGTGCCTCCTCCTAGAAGACAACCTCCGAGGTGCCAATCGCCAAGAGGAGCATCGATCAGACTCTAAAAGAGATTGACGCCGAGCTCGAGGTTGAGAAGGCTGTCGAGAAGTCTTCCTAACTGTCTTCTGGGGCCAAGACATAGTCCGCTACC